AACAACTACGTCAGGCTGAGATAGTTGCAACTGTGCTGGAGCGGTCATCTTGTGTGCATGGACGACGAGCGGCTTTCTAAGCGACTCTTCTACGGGGATGTCGCCGCGGGTTCCAGCCGACAATGAGGCCAATTCTTTTGCTACAAGGACACTCTGAAGACCTTACCGAAACGTCTGCAGATAAAGTCAGCCAACTGGGAAGACCTCGCTTCAGACCGAATGAGCTAATTGAGGACAATGAAGACGGGCGCTGCGATCTACGAAGCCAACCAGTTGGAGGCAGTGGTGGGATGGAGGGGAGCACACACCTATCCCCTTCCGAGCACCAACTCCAGCAGCACTGGGGACAGTGCTGCATCGCAGGAGGAGACTATGTAACGTCCCTTGATCTGAAAAAGGTTTTTTGAGTGGTGTGACACTTTTCGCGCGGACCTGGGATGGAGATGGTGTAGCTGCGTGCTAGTGAAGATGGCCTGTGTCCCTCCTTCTCGCTGCCGCCGACAACTCCCTCTCGGTCGCCGCCAAGCCAAGCGCGAGGCTCGCAAATCTCAACTGCGCCCAGCTCGAAACGCTAATGCTCAACCGCCCCCAACCTGCCCACGCTGCCAGCGGACGTCCCCGGCTCCGTTTGGCCCTATGGGGCAGCTTCGCACCAAATGCGGCACCCGGAATACACCGACCGCAGTCTCCTCGTCAGATTCTGCCTCTTCCAACCACTACCGAATTCCCATTGCCATTCTCCTCCTCCTCCATTGCCTCAATATCCACAACGGCGGTTGCTTTACCCACCACCACTGCGCACAATCCCGACACACCAACAAACATTAACACCCCCACTGTCAACGCCAGCGATGTGGACTCTATCCATACTTGTACTTATTGCGACCGCACCTTCACCTTACACATCGGCCTGGTCGGTCACTTGAGAATCCACGGTACAGAAACTGGTGAACCGGTGCCTGGAGCATCAACATACACCAGACGCATTCCACTCAACTGCCCTCACTGAACTCGCACATTCACCCACCGCATGGGCCTATAGGGCTACATGCGCATTCGCGAAAATCTGCGGTATACAACCGCCGGCTACACCACATCATCACATCTTCCCGCACCTACAGCATACAACATCATCACCCACCACACTCATTCATCTGCCACATCCCACGCAAGTGGGAAGTGTGTGTCTCGGCCGCGTCTCCATACGCCCCCTCCCGCGTCAAGCATCGTTACTCGGAAGATTGCTGACTGGCGTTCCAAATCAGTCGACGCAGTTTGCCTAGTTCAGTGTGCGTTTCTGTGGAGTGGCGGTCTGGTGGGCTGAGAGTCAGGCTGAAACGGCTCCCTCCCAGCGTGACCTACGGCACTCTCACGCATGTAAGATGTACGCAGATCGACCTCCGTTGTGTGAAATCTTGGTGCTTCTGTTTGCGTCGCCAGGTCGTGCATGAAGCGCGCGCAGACAAGGACAGTAGATATTTCATTCACCGCGCCCATCCGCGCACTTGTCAACTGACCGGCTCAGACAGTGGCTGGGGCCTGCGACTGGAAAGTGTAAGTGAGGTCGACGATGCAGCGCATTTTCCTCACTATAAACAACCTGACGCTCTTGAAGCCCTTATGGTGTTTTCGATTAAAAAATATTACTGAAGCAGGGTTATAATATTCGTCATCAGGTAGCGTCATGGAAAGATATTTCAGTTACATCAGGATGCCAGTTATGTGAACGAGATTTTCTCCGGCCACTTGCAATAACTGCATTCTGTAAAAATGGCTACTTATGTAGAACGATTTTCTTTCATTGATTTTAGGCCTATTCAGACATATTTTGTAGGAAACATGCATAAAATATTCTTCCTTATGCTTATGTGGTGGCGAAATCATATTTATACGTGAAAAGGAGGTATGTTTCGCTCGGTTGAAAAAATATTTGAGTGATATGTGTTACGTAGCTCCAACTGATGAACACCATACTGTTGGAGATCGGCTTAGGGGTTAGGGTTAGGGGTTAGGGCAACGTTTTCTCAACCACTCAAAGTACAACTGCGCATTCCCATTAGCTTTTCTTTTGCATACAACCACTTGACCTCGTCGCCTGTGTGTAGCCGCCCACACCTATAAAAACCCCTATTACCAACCGTCCGGTATGACAGGTTGCTGTGGTTTGTTTACTTCAGTTGGGGCTACGTAACCACATCTGACCAATATTTGTTCAGTTCCCGAATCATTTGGGACCCAACTTCTGTTACATTTGCTTCATGGATCTAGACTACTTAAGTGAAAGGAAAAGTATACGTTTCTACACGATATCTCGCGGACACGTTAAAGAGCTCATATGAATTCCTGATTAGGAAGAAAGTGCTAAATGTCATTCCGCAGATTCTTCACAATAATAACCCTAAAGGACTACGATACATTGAGAGTTAGAGCTACAAGCTGAGACGATCGCACCGGCCGTCGTCTAAAATTGGCTTGTAACAGGCTGTTGCACAGCACAGTTTCTTGAAAAGAGAGAACGAATGGGAACTGACCACCAGCCAGACACAAATTGAAATATACTACCCATAGTCGATCGGCATCAAATTTACAAGACCCCGTCTGCTATTAGGTAGAACTTACGTTTCTTAAACACCCACGACCAACTCATAATTGCAGAAGGATAAATTATTTGGTCACGCGAAATAACTGGTGGATTCGAAAAGTCATTGCAATTATTGAACTGTATATCAGAGGCGAAGACTTTAAAAAGGCACATTATTTGGGAATTGAAAAAAACTCGTGAATCTGCCGTGCAAATGATACAGCTTACCTATGTCTGGCGCAGTCGATCCTAATTAACCGATGTTTGGAGACAGCGTATAGGCGTAAAAAGCTCTAAAACTAGATGCTACTCGCATTTCATGACCGATAACGGGACGGAGAGCGCGCGCGTTGATGTCGAATAGCGTGCGGAGGTGCTGCATTGCTCATAATTACCATCTTTTGCACCCTTTGTATACTTGCTATCATCTGGAGTCTCAGACGTCATCAACCAAAACAAGGACTGTGCATGAGGTTGCTGGGGATGAGAATAATTTGAGACGATACGACTTCCGGTTTCCAACAACGCGTCCAAGGATCATCACGAGATCAAGCACTTGATGCCGCCGTCGCACAGTATGCAGTACTTCCAGTCCCTTAACAAGGACTCTGGCAAACTTTGCGAGGCATTCAAGCGAGACCTCTTCCCCACCGAAGTGCCAATAACAGCTGAAGAGAAGGATTTTCCTCTCGGTTTTATCCTCGCTGTGTACAAAATCATTAATCAGGTGGCGCGTCTGATACGTCTCATATATCCGCCACAAAATTTCTACGTCATTCACGTGGATAGAAAGTCACTACAGGCGTTCTATGACGCAGGCCAAGATATCGTAAAATGTTTCGGTGCCAATTTTGGTGTAGTCCCTCGAAATGAAAGTGTCAGTGTCGTTGTGGCGACTAGCCATCCTGACTGGCCCGGAGTCATTGTTCAAGACCTCGCTGCCTCAAGGTCATTCATCCCTTGCAGCGAGCCGTCCCAGACGAGGTGACCTGAAGTCACACAACCAACAGCTCGGGCACACATGCGTCCGCGCAGTCGCAGCTGCCCATGCGGCCACTTGAACGCGCCATCCCCTGCAACCAGCGGAACAAGCCACTGGGACACCACCCCTCGGCAAATGCAACACGCACGCTGACTGGCCGCCACTTGAGCTTGGCCCACGAGCCTACAAAAGCTGCTGCCACCATTATCTCGGGGACTCTCAGGCCTGACTGGACGCAGTCAACTCCAGCCCTGGCTTCTCCAGTGGCCACTGTCGTCTGAGAGGACAACTCCGGGTTCTGTGCACAATAAACCCCTCATTCTGGTGCTTTCTGACTTCTCCTTACAACCTGGGATTTGGCTTGATAATTGTAGCGCTCAGAGCACTTATTCTCTCTGCTGTGCCGCTACATCGTCTGGGGAGAATACATAGTCCTAGAGCAGGAACTCGGTGCCGCGCGAATGCTCCTACAAATGGGGAAGTGGAAGTATTTCATAAATCTTACAGGCCAGGAATTGCCCCTGAAGACGAACTTGGAATTAGTTCTGGCATTAAAAATGCTAGATGGCTCCAGCACCATTGACCCCACTTTTAAACACTGCAAAAAACACCGGATACCGAGACTTAGACCGTCACTTGCAGTAAGTGGTGGGACCTGTAAGTCAGCTTATTTCATGGTGTCTTCAACCAAATCATGCACTCTGACGCATCTGCTAGCAGACCTGATAGCACCTGTAACGTGCTGTCTATGCGCTCCAGAGTTTTGCCTGGACAGTATTTTTCTTGCTCTGGTTGTTCTTAATCACAGTTAGTAGGTAGTCGGAATGGGGAATTACTGTGATGCAGACACCGCAAGGGACTGCAGGAAATAGCGCTGTTATGGCTAATGACGGGCGGAAACACGTTTGTACGCTGTTGCTGAAAGCGAATGATGTAAGGTTTTAAAATCAGCGTTGCGGTCTTTGGTTAGTCCGGCTTTAAGAAAGCCGAACGAAAACAGGTGAGTCCTCATTGCGTATTCAGCTAAAGACAGCCTGAACTCGGACTATTCAGGTGTTTAGACAAATGGCAAGACGTATTGTAGGACAGCGCGTTGTAAATGGCCGAAGCTGGTCCGTTTAATCTTAAATCAGTTAGTCAGACCCCAGTCCCAAATGTAGCCTATTATATCTGTCTGGAAGAAGTGACTAAGATGTAATTGCCATCTAGTTTGCCAGACCAGGCGGATATAGAACGACGTAAACGTTTGTCAGCTTTATTGATGACTTTCACTTTGAAGCTGAAGACAGAACCAAATATTGCCTTTTGTCCAATCTTATGCTCAACTTTAATCGAAAAAGAAGGTAAACGTTTGTAGATAAGTTGATGCTTATCGCATTACTTAAGTGCAAATATACACACAACCTAAATCGGCATTGTGCCTACTATAAAACATACTCCCCAATTTCAGATGTTCACATGGTTAGCAGCTCATGTGCCGCGTAGTGTGCCTATGGACCCTTCGAAGTCTGTATGGAGAGGCTTCCTGGTATTCATACACAATGGGCAACAGTGAAGAATCTGAACGTAGGATGGCATGGCTTTAATCGGCGTAGAAGTCCCCTTGCCTACGCAGGACGGCATCTGACAAGGAAGTCAGTAGTAAGCATGAAGATAAGGCGTGAACAGAAACTGCAGGTCTCAACATTTGGCTGCTAACCGAAGTAATAGGATAAAATAAAAGTAAAGTGATTGAACGAGACATTGCCAACGGCATGGAAGAAGAGACAAGGGCCGCTTTCCTGCAGCCTATAGGGTGACGAACAAAGGACTACGAAGCTCATTAACACTCGCAGACAGAGATGAACAAAGACACCTGTCAGAGTGCTTAACAGTAGGTGTCAGTAACAACGCTCACGGAGAAAATCAGCCTAACCGTTTTTTGTAACCTTGTAATGCAGGCTGATATCAGACTGGATGAATGATTGGCCACACCCTGGACCCTCTGGTCTACCAGAGTGCCTATGGTCAGCAGATTCTTTCATGTTCGGTTGCAATACCTGCACGGCCTGAACAAAGTACATACTTGTACACAGGATCGACTTGTTTTGCCTGCCGTTGCAAATGACGATGTCTGGCAGTTTTGAGTAAATCGGTGTCACCTTGTTAATCACTAGGACTTTTTCATCGGACTTCATGCAGTGATCGAAATCCACAAATGCATGTGAGGATGTAGCTGTTATCGTTGTCAGTTTCACAGTTATTCAGTCATGGGTCGGTCGATAGCGATCGGTTGTCAACTGTCTAAATGTATGTTTGCATAGAATAAGCAGCATAACGACTACGACGGCCGCTCGTCAGCTGTATATGCTGAGGTCAGGACTGACAGCGATCTACAGCGGTCTACAGCTATCCCTTCTCAGATGTTTGAGGCTGCGATAGTGTAGATGAAGCAGCACACCGACTGCAGGTCAGATGAAACAACAATTGTGTCTGGCTAGTACCTACTCAAATAGCTACAGTAAGTATTCTTTCTAGGCAACAGATATTTGGGGGGCCCCTCCCGATTGTTACCTGCGGTGGATGCTGTGCAAGTCGGACCGTCGGTACGCAGGTAATGGATGTTTGAAATATGTGCAAACATGGGCTTACTGTGAGGTATTGGTACTCAATCGACATACCTGGTCATTTGCAGTATGGACCAGGGTATGTGGAGGGGAGCGCTGAGGTGCGGGCTCGACCGTGCCATTCATATACGCCCTAACTGACTCCGTTCTTTTTGACTCTGACGTGACACCGAGTCAAGGTGTGGAGTAGGAATAGAGAATGCGAGGGATGCTGTGCAAGTCCATTTTCATGCACAAGTCATCGTCTCTGCTCTCACCCTGTTGTGGGGCACACGGTGGACACAGTCCAGATCGACAGTCGGTATGCATTGTCATGTATCTTACTGTCTGACATGAATATGCAAGTAGATCCTGCTTTTGCCTGCCATAATTGCCGTTGTAGGAAAAGAAGGTGAGGCCGTGTTGGAGGCTGACAAAGCTGATTTGCCTTATGCAGACATATTCGACGATGTGGACTTTGTTAAATCTGGCATTAACTTCAGGGCGTTGGTGACCCAGTGGGAAGAAATGGACCCATGGGTAAACATTGTTTCCATCCGGTTCTGATGACCGTACTTGGTAGATAACCTGTGATTAACTGGGCACAGATTAAAGCGGCCGTAGGACGGTCCTCAAAAAGACACGCCGACTCAGTAGGTGGCGACTTAGAGTCTTTACGCAAGAGTATCTTGGATATTTTTCAATAAAGCCTTTATCATCGATATTTAAGGCCATTAAATGCTTCTGCACAAATAACAGCTAACGAGTGGAGTTCGATTTGCTCAAGAGCTAAGGACAGACACATGTACCAACAGCGTAAACAAACTGGGCCTGTACTTCTGTCCTTCAACTGTAATCCAGTTAGACAGCTCTGCATGTCTCGAATCACTGGGTAGGGGGACTCTTGTAGGAATTGAATTTTAACATCACTGAGGGAAGAGATCACGCATGCGGGGCAAAGTTTTGCATTTAAAAACTGATATTGACGCCGTCTCAAATAGAGTCCACACAGGCCTCGGGACGACGCCCACACCCACCTCATCCATATCCATTTCCTTGTCCGACTCCTCGAGGACGGAAGCGGAAACATCGGATATACAAACGGCTGCAGGTATCCTTTCTCATCCCTTCCCACTTGACTCATTTCCATCAGGAATTCAAAATATCACGGTGGGTGTTCTGAGTAGATTCTAATTCTTTCTTCATTTATCAAGCTGTCGGCACCAAAGTCGACTTAAATGATGACAAACCTAAATAATGTCCCAAGGAGCTTCCACTTCAACTTTTAGCTAGGCGAAGCATTCCATCAAATAGAATTGTAAGATACCTAACTGTAATAGTTTGGTCATGACCTATGAAGGACACCAGGCCATACCTCCTCAAATCGTAAAATATTCGCGCCGATTTGGTCTTGATTGGATGACAGGCATGAAAATGTGCTCTTTGATAATTGACAACGACAGACAGGCCATCTCACGTAGAGGAGCATGCTATTCAGGTCAGGGGTATGGTTTTTGCGAAGACCCACCAGTTGTGTAAATTTGTGTGTGCGTGTGTGTGTGTCCTCCGAACGGGCCACGTTGGAGATGCGCTGGATGAACACAGGGCCTTTTCGGATTCTGGCAGACGTCATCGGATTGCGCAAATGTCAACGTTTCGGGTCGCGGTGGCAGACCCGCTTGCTTGTAGACGCTGCACACACTGGGACCCCTGCCGATCCCCTACCCTTTGTTTTTGCGGTTGGTCAAAAACCTGGTCATTTGCAGTATAGACCGGGGGGTGTGGAGGGGAACGCTGAGGCGCTGGCTCGATCATGCCATTCACCTGCACCCTAACCGCCTTCGGTCTTCCTGACTCGTGACACCCGGTCCAGGTGGGGAGAGAGAGAGTGCGGTTGATGCTGTGCAAGTCTATATTCAGAATAAACTAAATCATGCACAAGTTGTCGTCCCTGCTCTCACCTTGTTTTGGAGCACACAGTTGACGCAGTCGAAATCGACAGTCGGTATGCATTGTCATGTATGTTACTGTCTGACATGAATATGCAAGTAGTACCTGCTTTTGCCCGCCATAACTGCCGTTGTAGGAAAGAAGAATGAAGCCTTGTTGGAGGCCGGCGAAGCTGATTCGCCTTATGCAACCATCCTGGAGGATGTGGCTGGAATTAACTTCAGGGCCTTGGTGGACCAATGGAATAAAAATGGACTCATGGGTGAGTATTGTTTCCATCCTGTTCAACTGACTGTAATTGATAGGTAACCTGTGATTTAATGGGCACAGATTGAAACAACAGCAGGATGGTCTTAAAATTGACACACCGCCTCAGGAGGTGGTGAGTTAGAGTGTCCTTGTTCGAGAGGAATCTGGATAATTTTCCCCTGAGACTATTGTAATTTACATTCAGGGGCCTGCAAGTACTATTTCAAAAATAACTGCCAATGTGTTTACTTCGATTTACTCAAGAGCTAAGGACTAACGCATGCAACAACAGCGTAAACAAACTGGGCCTGTCCTTCTATCATTCAACTACAATCCAGTTAGCCAGTTCTGCATTACTAGAATCACTGAGTGGGGGGAATCTTGTAGGAATGGAATTTTAACATCACTGAGGGAGGAGATCACACATGCGGGACAATGTTTTGCTTTTAGAAACTGATATTGACGCCGTCTCAAATAGAATCCCCACAGGCCTCGGGACGACGCCCACACCCACCTCATCCATGTCCATTTCCTTGTCCGACTCCTCGAGGACGGAAGCGGAAACTTCGGATATACAAACACCTGCAGGTATCCTTTCTCAACCCTTCCCACTTGACTCATTTCCACCAGGAATTCAAAATATCACAGTGGTTGTTCTGAGTATATTCCAATTCTTTCTCGAAATTATCAGGCTATCGACACCAAAGTCGACTTGAATGATGACAAAAGCGAAATAATGTCCCAAGGGGCTGCCAGTTCTACGTTTAGCTAGGCGAAGCATTCCATCGAATAGAATTGTAAGATACCTAAATGTGATAGTTTGGCCATGACCTATGAAGGACACTAGGCCATGTCTGCTCAAATCGTCAGAGATTTTTCCCGATTTGGTCTTGATTGGATGACAGGCATGAAAAAGTACGATTTGTAAATAAAAAGACATGATTGAATCACCGTGTGATTACCTTAGCTTTCGTTATGGTTCTGACTTAGTATATGGCACGGATGAGCCTATGGCCTCTGTTGATACTGCGTAGCCTAAGTGAGACTCGGGCCATATTTACTCCATTCGTAGGTGCTTTTGAATGTTATAAACACTCAGTTAATCATCTACAGGTAAAAACTTCGGCTGCCTCGTTCGAAGGCCGGTTGCTCAATTGTTTAGGTCGTCGGTTGTGCTGATGCTTTGCTCATGCTTTAGCGGATGTGAATCTCACAGATGTGTCGATTCTTTCAAAAATGCATGATCACTGAGGGGATTGATAAGACGTGCTGGATAATGTTTTGCATTTAGAGACTGAAATTGAGGCTGCTGTTATTTCATTTCACACAGGCCTCCGTTCCACACTCACCCCGACGTCTTCTGTGTCTATTTCCATGAGCGATGCCTCGAAGACCGAAGCAGGGACATCTGAAATCCACACAGCTGCAGGTATTCTTTCTCATCCCTTCCCGTCGGACTCATTTAAATTGGGAATTCAGGGGATTCAAGTGGGTGATTGGGGTGGATTCTAATTAGCACGTGATTTTCGAGTCTGCATGTATTTTGGATGTGGTATCTTATGAAATACTTGCAGGATATTGGAAGTGCCATTTCGATTCGAAGGATAACGCGACTAGGCTTGTCATGCTGCCGTTGCATGCTGGATATACACAGAGATGCACCAGTTTCGCCGTTGTATGGCAGAATTATTTGGAAGTTGAGTAGTCAACTGTTTTTTCCAGCAACCTGAGAGGAGGCCAGTTGTCTCCTTTACGGACGTCCCGATGTCATGACAATTTTTCCGCAAAAGGCTCCTCAATAGGTACCGAGGAATGCTGACCGATAGCGGAGTGTGAGACTGTTTGCTCAGGCGTTCTGAAGAGGATGATGATACCGGCCATTGCTTGGGCAATGTTTTGAAGAGGATTTTCAAAATGGTGTTTACTAATGAGAAACAGCAGGACTAAGGGTTTCTGCAAAAAGCCAGAGCATTCAGCCACCTGTGCGGAATGCTTCTTGCCTATTTATTCTTTGTAGCCAGCGAATGCAACAACGGTGAGGCAACGCATGCTTCCCCGCCATCACTGAATTCGTCATCAGCGATAGGCTATTACTGGTAAATTCAACGACAGGTAGTCATCCCCGCCCCGTTGAGTAGTCCTCTCAATGCAAACGCAGGGGTGAAGAAGAACGCGGTCCTTGAGGTGGAGTCCACGTCTACATCCTCGGCGCCTCTATACTTATTTGGTTCTTCGGAAACGGAGGCATCGGACTTAGATGTTCATGGCTTTGCAGGTACTATCCATCTTCCATCCCCACTGGACTAATATAAGCCGGAAATTCTAAGGGTTTTGTTTACCGTAGGCAGTCGGCTATCTAACCTTTGAGGGTGGGAACTTGTGGTTGCCAAACTTAAAAATTTATTTTGTGTCCGATGTTAAGCATGATGATCAACCTGCTAACAGAAAGGTTATTTCAAGAAAACCAGAGATTTAATCAATTCCTAAAAGTCAAATTAGCATATCTGTCCTTTTTGGCAACCTAAAGTGCAGTACTAACGCAGATAGGGATTCATTCGTTTAAGTGGGCTGCAATCTTCCTGTCGTTTAGAAAATTCTACCTGATGTCACATAGATGACCACCGCGGAATGGTCATTTCCAGCTTTAAACACATGGAACGCTACTTTTCGTGTCGTTTAGCTTTTGTGCATATCTTATTCAGAAATAGAAGGAGCAAAACATTTACAGTTTCAGCAAAATGTCGGTATTTATATGGACGCTCAAAATCAATGAACGGAGTCCAAAAGCCAGGAAAAACAGTGGAAATGGCCTCAATATATAGAAAAAAAGGCATGTTCTTACGTTCACGGTAGAAACACATTAGTATTTCGCAGGAACGCCTCACCGTGCAAAAACGCAAAGTACACAGAGACCCGTCAACGGAGAGCAGTACTAAAGCACTTCTTGAAGAGGTAAATTATTGAGCAAAGTTTTCTTATTGATTAAAGGCATAATTTTTGCTGACTTACGTTGTGGACAGACATTTTTCGCGAAAATGATGTTTGTTGTCTGAGTGAGTTTTCACAGATCGTTGCAAAATATTCGTTCAATTTCCTATGCTACAAAATGTCCCAGACTCCAGTTATGCATCTGAGCGGCTTTTTCATCAAAAGGATGATAATTTACCCGCGAGAGTTTTAATAAATAGATTTAGTTGAACTGGAACTTTTATGCTAACATAAAGTTATGTTAAGAAAACCAGAGGTTCAATCAATTTCTAAAAGTCAAATTAACAGATCTGTGCATTTGGTGCCCTAAATTGCAGTACTACCGCAGATAGGGATTCATTTGTTTAAGGAGGCTGAAATCTTCTTGTCATTTGGAAAATTCTACCTGATTTTGCACAGATGACCGCCACGGGATAGTCATTTCCAGCTTTAAACATATGTCGTGTAGTTTAGCTTCTGTGCATAACTTATTCAGAAATGGAACGAGCAAAACATTTATAGTTTCAGCAAAATAACGGTATTTATGTGGGCGCTCTGCAGTGCATTCATAATCAACGAACGGAGTCTAAAAGCAAGCAAAAACAGCGGAAATAGCCTCAGTATATAGCAAAAAGGAACGGTCTTACGTTCACGGTAGAAACATATTGGTATTTCTGAGAACCGCGAAAGAAAGTGTCAAAAGTGTTGCATTCTTACTTCACCTCAAGATGCAAAAATGCAAAGTACACAGAGATCTGTCAACGGAGAGCAGTAATAACGCAATTCGTAAAGAGGTAATTTATTGAGCAAAGTTTTCTTAATGATCAAAGGCATATTCTTTGCTGACTTTTGTTGTGGACAGACATTTTTCTCGAAATTGATGTTTAATGTTTGAGTGAGATTTCACATTTGACCCAAACGACCATCCTCGTGAAAAGGAGCTCCCGAAAACTCGCTAATTCGGTAAATGCCTTCAAGAATAATCTTATTCTAAAGGTATCAACAGACAGGTAATTCAGAATCTGTCTTTATGCAAGATCGGGTGAAAACACTGAAAATCATGACGTATTCAGAAACATTTGGAGGCCGATCTGAAACTCAACGTAATCCAAAATAAACTAGAAGTGTAAATTAATTTGACGGAAGAAAGGTTCACTATTTAAACACAAAAAGGTATGATAAAGAGAAGGCTCTTCGGAAAATCGAGTTGTACTCGTAGATTTTCAAGTCAGTGACACCGACCCGTCGTCAGACGAAATAAACAGAGGGAAAAGTGAAATCGGCACGCCCGGTCGGCTGGCGCGACAGGACAGACAACGACAGACAGCTGATGCGTGAAAGGGGGGGGCACCGAGGTATATTTACGATCACGACTGTCAGTTCTGTTTACATTTATTAGGCACCGACCGGCCTCATGGCATGTCACCTTATGAAAACGCTTGTTCCTACGACGTCCACATCGATGAAATCAAGCAAAATCCAACTACTTTTGGTGAACCCCATCTCATTTACTTCAAAAAAATAAAAAAAATCAGGAATTACTGGAAAGCCGTTTTGGAATCTACACTCAGAATATAGGCAGTTGACAAACCGTCATATATGAAACCACAATACATATCAAACGATATCTAGATGTGAACTTCATTAAAACACAACTATTAGATGTTCGTTTATATCTATCTTCATATTTACTACGTTTTTAGTATGAGAATATATTCTATACATCTAAAAACAAAGTTTACTAAATTAGAGCCATTTGCGTCGTTTTCGAGATATTGCGCTTTCTAAAATAAATCGACACTTCTTAACCACGCAACACTGCCTTTAATATATATTTTAGGTTTTTAATTCTTTTAAGCATGTAATTAATTCACATAGAAGTCGGACTCATGAAATGTTGTCGGTTTGCGAGTGATTGGAAATCATTCGTAAATGTCGACACATTTCATGAGTTAGTTCACTAACTGTATGCAAGGAAGCAAATGTTGTTATTTCAGAGAAATGCTTGAGAGCATTACAAAACATGGTAAGCTCTTTCAATTATTTTCAGGTGGGCAAAGTCGTGTTGGAGATGTTATCGTGATAATTCATCAGGGCTATACGAACTTCACGAATTCCGATGCGAATTCCGGGTGTGGGTATTTGGACTTGGTGTCGTAGTGAGTTGTTCTGGTTTTGAAAGTTCAAGCAGGCGGATGACATGTGATGATGCCAACTGCCTAAATTGGCAACTATGTGCTTGATTGCCTACGCGTGCGTCACTGCTGTGGGTGGCGCGAAACCGAAGAGAAAAACTAAAAGGAAGAATTCTGCTGACCCCACCCAGATGGATAAGTTTGCAAAATCGTCGAGTAAAGAAGAACGAAGCTGAGATTAAAGTAGACGCATGAAATTGTCAAAGCTTCACGTCAAAGGCGGTTAGAAAACCCGATTCATTTTGCTGCGATTCATTTTGCAGCTTCACGTCATAGCAGGTAGAAAACGCGATTCACTTTGCTGCGATTCATTTTTTTCTACCCATATCAGACAAATAATAGGAACATTAAAACTGTCAGGGTTGCATCCGAAGTAGTTCTTTCTTCAAATTCTTTTCGATGAAGAAATAACACGTCATCGACAAAAAGACCTGATCTAAGTAATGGAAGAGTCATTAAGGCCGCTTCTGGATCATTCTTCCTCCAGGTTATTAAACCCGTAGCTTCCCTACTATGAGCCGGGGGGAGGGTAACGTGATGTAACATGTTGCGAGCGCTAAGGACACAACTGTAAATCCTTGACTATGGATATCCGGATAAGACCAGAGTTATAAAAATATTAACAATCAAATTTCAGATGGCCTGACAATCTAGCAGATGCCGAACGCGTCGCGTAGCGTTGAGTTGTGATCCTTCCATTCAGTTAAGCAACCAGTAAGTGTAAGGATGAGGAACGGTTAGGGAAAGACATGATAGTCTGGCGCCTCGGCACAAACACACGGCTTCCGATGTGGCCTCATATTTCCACTTTAACCCAGGTACGATCTCAGCTTTCAGTTCCGGGACGCATTCTCTACGTTTGGCCTTCTTTTCGAAATCCCACAACACTGTCCTCAGGCCAAATATGCTAGGTCCTCGTCTGTTGACCAACTTGTATCTGCAGATTTGTCTCACATCGGAGCCTCAAAAGTTTGTAACGTTTATTAAATTATCTTGCTGCATAGTTACACGAAGCAGTACCAGCCTAACTGTAGGTAATGACACAAAGTCTGGACCGACCACAAACACAGAGAAGACTGTGCTCATGCACCAACGGACGTCCTACGCTGAGCACAATGAACCGCATATAAACGTCAACAAAACCCAAATGTCATCAGCGAACAAATTGGAATACCTCGTTCACAAAGCATTCAATATCCTGACGTCTGCATGCTGATGGATGCTTACTTTGAGGAGCAGCCGGGAATGGACATCAACCAACGAACGGACGGAACTGCTGAATATCCGCCGCCCGGAAGCGTTCCCGGTGGTATCCAACGGGCGTCCTACGCTGAGCACAATGAACCGCATATAAACGTCAACGGAACCCTCATGGCATCAGCGGACAAGTTGGTATACCTCGAAACCACAATTTCAAGGGATTTCACGATCAACCAAGAAATAGTCAACTGGATATCCAAAGAAAACTAAACCTTCGACCAACTATAGGACTCGCTGTCGAATCTCCGTGGACTCAATCCCAACAATAAACTCAACATTTGTCGAGCCATCGTCCTATCAACGCTGCGGTACACGACAGAAAGCCGAAAGTGTACGAGAACCAAGCGGCCACGCTCAATCACTTTAACTTTAGTTGTGTCCGGAAAATGCTAGCCAAATTGGCAGGTCAGAGTCCCAGCCACGGAAGTCCTGGGACGAACTGCATTCCTCTGCATCCTCCCTATAATCAAATCAAATTTAATTATGATTGGCTGGTCACTTTCTGAAGGTGTATGACGAGCGCCTTCCAAAGTGGCTATGCTACAGCGTTCAAGCAGGTGTTCTTCGGCATAAAGGACAGAAAATACGTTATAATGACAATCTGCAAATTTCCCTCAGACATCTATTTCAACTCGGAGACCAGGAAGCTTCACGCCCAAAGTCTGACCGGCTTGCAAAACAGCCGATAAGACTGGAACAGCGGTCTTCGAAGTCCACTGGGTAACTGGTGTCAAAAACCAAAAGAGCTGCTCGAAAGTCTTAAGAGCCTTTACCCTAACAATTCCCATCGTGTTCCGCACATGGTTCGGCCTCGTCGAACATCTTCAGAACCAATGCAACAAGCACTCGAGAACACCACCTACTGCCTCCGCAAACGCCACCACCATCACACCCGTCGAAAACTCCGCGACGTTTATGCCTACGATGGTGACGGCAACCAAGACCACAGTCGGTAAGCACATGCCCGATGTACAATCGCCACCACCTACCATTCCCATCATTGCTACCACGACACCCGCGGCGACGCCAAACCACACCCCGCCCCAAACCCCACAACCGCTCCGAAAACACCTGCCATCCTGTTAACCACGACCAGCATCGCGGACTTGATCACTACCCGTCTCGTCGCGACAGCCACTTCACATCACTCATCGACCGGACTGGTCACTTCCAAATCCACCGAGATGAAACTCCGAAGGAGGGCCTGAATCCTCACTGTGCACCCCCCGCCCCCCCCCCTCCTACTCACCTACCCGTGATGCTCACACACATTCAGTCCTCGTCTGTTGACCTACTCGGCCCTGTGCGTTGCCATGAGATTCTTCAATAAACTAACGCAGACCAAATCCCATCACCACACATTTCCCCGCCAACGCATACCTCGCACAAACCCGTCCCAAATCATTCAACACAGGCATGGAGTAGGTAACTCTCACGTAACTGGTGGGCTTGTCCCTCAACTACTTGTCTGACTAGCTTCTATGGCATAATAAGACATGTGAGGTTCGAACAGCCCGTCCCTTCGTGTGAAAAAACGTTTATGTTGTATGGAGCGCCAGCTAGTGTGATACCCGCGCAGATGGGCTATTAATTTTTCAACCATTTTCGGAAACTCTCCGCACCAGTAACTAGCCGGCTCTGACAACAAACTGATGCTCGGGAGAGAGATCGAATTTGGTTAATCCTCCTCCACAATACTTCAGACCACGTTCCTCGGTAAAAATAGGCCGACGCGATTTTAAACTATCAAATGAAACTTTACCCACGTCGGCAGTTGCTGACGATCGTCCTTACAACAAACAAGCGTTATTTTGCTTGATCTCGCAGATAGAAACGTCATAGGGATAAGAGTTTTCACAAGATTACATGTCTCTGGGTCGGTGGGAAACTATCTAATTTATATAGGCTTGGCAAATAATATCTTAAACACACCATTTTGTGCATATAATGAGAACTTTTATCTCGTTAAATTAAAACGTCCCCTTGTTTTGGATTATGCTGAGATTCAAATCAGCCTTGAAATATCCAGTGGTTTCAACCGATTGCCAACAAAGGAAGGTTCAGTATTATGTGTTCATTAAAACATCCAAAATAATGTACGGTTTGCTGGCCCTGACCGCATTAGTAAGTGCATGGACATTCTTTTTATGAAGATGGTCATTTGGATCATATGTGAAGATTCAGTCGGTAAGATGTGGTTGTGTATCCCCATCTGATGGACACATTACTGTTGGAGGTGGGGCTAGGGGTTACGGCTAGGGATTGAGGTTAGGGTTAGCGGTTAAGTCAACTATTTCTGTACCACTCAAAATACAACCGCGCATTTTGAATAGCTTTTAATAGTGTATAAAACTACTTGACCTCATCACCTGTGCGTTCCCCGGCCTCACCTGTAAAAACCCCTATTACCGCCAGTCCTGTCTTACTGGTGGCTGAGGTTTGTTTACTTCAGCTGGGACTACATAACCACATCTGACCACTCGCTCCAGCGTGAAACCGCATTGTCAAATAAAATGAGTGCCCGCAACAAAAGGCAATAACGAATATGCTTTCGCCCGCTTAGAAAACTTTTTCTTGTAAGCTACCCCATCTGACCACTCGCATGTATTTGAAAGCCCTCGACGAGCGTGCAAAATGCGCAACGTTTAAGGCGTCTGGAAACCCTCACGTCAGTTGCTGTCATCAGGTTTCGCGTGATGTACCCTTCTTCGACATGAACGCATTATCTACTAAGCTAACACTACGGTGCAACATTGATCACTACCGCATTCTGATCATCTGCTGGCAACAAATGCGGGATTAATGACAGTTTTCTGAATCAAAGTCACTTTTATAATCAAAAAAACACAATGGCTCGCAATTTATTATGACGATTTTAAAGTAAGGAAATACACCCATTTTAATTTACCTAAATTCAGGACCCTGACGCCTCGTCTTGCCCTTGCGTGCGAAATAACAAGGTTTGAGGTATTTGGAAAACGATTCGGTTGTCCCGTTTATGGTCCTTTAAGTTTTCCCACTTGAGATCAAGAACAACGGTTAGTTACTTCCGTAAAACAGTACGATCTCGAACTAAACGCTTCAAGGCAATTAAGACTGTGACTGTATTCGGTGGAAATTCAAGAAATCCTTTAGATCTAAACGGATCGTTGCTTAAACGCGAGTTCTTAGGTAACAATATTTGTCTCGGATGTTTTAAATCATGTGCACAGATGCGACTAAAGTGAAGGAAAAGTGTTTTTACGTTATCACATTGCTTCCACTAGATTCGTGAAGACCTAAACCCCAAAGAAATACAAGTCGTCAGCCGCGTGCTCACGTCCGTTCAATAAATGCACATGGAAATGCAGTTGTTAAAACGAATCGCGGTTTGAGAAAGTAAAAAGACCTTCAGATCGGCATTACGAAGCTTCTGCAAAATATATACAAAGGGCTATATGATAGTCTGAAACTTACAGTGACACGTTTCATCGTCCGCATCAACAATAATCTCTGGGGAGCTTTTCTAAAATTAGCTTGTAGCAGGCATACGACTTTGACTGACGGAGCTATGATCAACTAAGAGACAAGCAAGAGTCTATCCACTATTAACTACTAACTGCACTATATTAACGCCCAAGCCTGACGAGAAACTGTGGTAGCTACGCAGAGTAAATAATGGATGTGAAAATGCGCTGCAGCTACCGTAGTATCGAGCAAAATTGAAGACTGTCAGAGAGGTATTTACTGTCCCAGTTGAAGAAAATGTCGTGTGGTCCTCGTGCAGATCAGGCAATCTACCTGTTGAAGAAGTAGCCAATCGAACTCAACCGACGTACTAGGTCCCAGCACATAAATTTCAAAAAAAACTTAAAAGTGGGCGTTAATTGCTTTACACGACTCATAACAGGGCGGAGGGCACGCGTTGACGTCGGATGGCGTGCAGAGGAGCTACGAATTTCATAATTGCCATCTGCTGCATTTTATTTATAAGTGCCATTTTTTGCAATTCCCGGTCTCACGTAACCAAAACAACATATATACATAGTTTCACGGAGGAGAGTAAGGCCAGACGATGCGCGTTCCTCTTCTCCAACAACGCGTCCAAGGATCATTACGAGTTCAAGCACTTGGCGCCGTTGCACAGTATGCAGTACTTCCTGTCCCTGAACAAGGACTCCGGCAAACTCTGCGAGGCATTCAAGCGGGACCTTTTTCCCACTGAGGTGCCTGTAGCAGCCGAAGAGAGGGATTTTCCTCTCGGTTTTATCCTCAATGTCTACAAAAGCATCAATCAGGTGGCGCGTCTGCTGCGTCTCATATATCGGCCACAAAACTTCTACGTCATTCACGTGGATAGAAAGTCACCACAGGAGTTCTATGACGCAGTCCAAGAAATCGCAAAATGCTTCGGTGCCAATGTTGGTGTAGTTCTTCGAAATGAAAGTGTCAGTGTCATCTGGGGAGACTACACGGTCTTAGAGCAGGAACTCGTTGCCGCGCGAATGCTCCTACAAATGGGTAAATGGCGGTATTTCATAAATCTGACAGGCCAGGAATTACCCCTAAAGACAAACTTGGAATTAGTTCTGGCACTCAAAATGCTAAATGGCTCCAACATCGTTGAGACCACATTAAAACACCGTTTCAAATGGCGACTACCCAGACGTAGACCATCAATCCCAGTAAGTAGTGTGATCTATTAAATGAGGCTATTTCATGACATCTTTAATCATACTGTGTCCTATGATACAAAACCGTGATTATGCATCAACCACATCCCAACCCCTCCCAGCGTCGATAGGAAGATTTTCGCGGTGACAGATTTTCATGTTGCCCTAAACGACAGAAGTTTGACTTATATTTTATCTCGGCACAGTATTCAAAATTGGCTTATACGACCGTTTTTAGTCTGAAACATCCGAAAGCAGTTCGGCCAGAGTTTGAAGAAACTTAGGGCATAAGGCGTTCAAATTTCGATCCATCTACTTTGACCGTCCTTGTCGACGATGTCCACCATGCACACCACAGCAGGGTGAAACAGGTACGGCGACTTGCGCGTGGATTAATTAATAGTGATAGCAGACTTGATCATCATCTACCGCACTCTCCTCCTCCCCCACCTGGACCCGGTGTCAAGGCAGAGTCAAGAAGACCAGAAAGGGGAAGGGGGCGCAGGTGGATTGCACGGTCGAATCCGCACCTTGGCGCTCCACTCCACACCTCCTGCTCCAGACTACAACTGACCAGGATTTTAACCAACAGCAACGATGGGGGCGGCAGGGGTCCTAGTGTGCACGACCACTGCCGGCGACCACGTCTGACATCGCACCCCCTAGCTGTTGGCATCTGTTATGGCGTGCGTTCCGATGACGCCTGCCAAAATCCGATATGGCCCGCCCCCCCGTGTTGGTTCAGCGCATCTACTAGATGGCCCGTTTGGGAGGGACTTCGACCCACCTGGTCGCTTTAACTCACACAGTTCCTTTGAGCTCTAAGTCTACCCGCTTGCCAGATTACTTGCGGACGGCAAGCTGGTCGGCATTCGGACATGGCCGCTGTGAGGACTGCATTAAGTACCTCTATGCCCACAGGTGCGACTTGTGAGGCCTGCATGTGTCTCCGTCCTAATAGCTTCGTTAGACCTCGGCAATGACCGGACTCAGTCGGACCGATTAGTCCGTCTTTTGGATCTTCGTAAAACCGCGCAGCCGGCAGATGTAAGAACCGACAATTCGGTCGACTAAGTGCATTTCACGCTTTGGCAATGGACAATCGACCGAGTTCTTTGAAATGTCAGCATTTAAGTAAGCCTGTTCCGGTGAGCCCATCTTCTTCTTCTTCAAAACAACTCAGATCTCTCAACAATCCAAATCTGAAATCGGATGTTTTCAAAATTTCTGACATTGTATTCCTACAGAGTAAGAATACCTGCGTGAATCCTTTGAAAATCGGCCATTTTTCTCGACTTAACCTGCACAATCTTTCAAATTGTCGACTTATTCAGTTTACTCTGGCCTGATAGTGTGGAGTGTACCGTCGTTTCGTAGGCCAATCTATCATTTACAGCTATGCTCGTTCCATTCCCCTTGATAGCTGCCACGGTGTCGGATATATACAAATATCACATATGTCATATGTCAAATATACACGGGCTCACCATAGCCGAAGCATCAAATGCAGCTGCGTTTTTTCGGCGCTCGTCTACGTCAATCAACCTTGGTTGCTCTGTCTTTCGCCAAAATGGGAATTTTAGTTTGATCAAAAGTGTCTCTTCGTTTTACTAAAGCTTATATAAATATTTAATGTTCCATCGTTTATACTTTCAATTAATATGGCTCAAAAACGCAGTCCACGTTCAATGTTCTTCGAAAATAATACGACTTCATGAACCTAAATTCCCACTTTTCGTTCCTTGATAGGATTCACTTGAAACTTTTCTTGCTTATATTAATGTTCCCTTATGCACAACGTTGAAAAAATACTAAAGTTTGGCAGGAGGCACTAAACAACGTGGAAAATTACTTGGATATGAGGAAACGTCCGGCCTTGTCTAATCCTGGCCTGTTTCCGTTCCATTAAACAGGTCCAAAATAAATTCTTCTCCGGCAAAAGACTTTCTGTGCCTCAACTTAATTAAATAAACGAAAAATTACTAAAAGTATGTCTAGACGTTATTCTTTTTGCGGTCATATTTACTTGGTGTTTTGCACGGACAGTTATTCTGCATAAAAAAAACTGGCATTCCCAGAATTTTCAGACTTTCTGAAAAAATGGTATTTCTACACAACGTTTAGTGTTTGTTTTAAAGTTTAAATTCCCTTGAAGTTGTTCCTATACTATTGACTCTCCGCTTATACTTTCAGTTAATATGGCTCAAGAATGTAATCCACGTTGCTCTTTCGAGGGAATTCGTTGAATTCATGCTGAACGACAAGAGAGCGCTCGAAGTCCGTGACATGCTGATTAATTACTCCTACCACCGGCATCCTGATGAACAGTTCTATGGAACGCTTGTCTACAACCCACATCTTGGTGCCCCTGGAGCCTGTCCAGGCCTATACAAAAATGGCAGGGTGGACCAAGACTTTGAACGAGAAGAAGACATTCTGCGCTATAAAATATGGTCTTATAGACCTTGTCCTACGAAGTACGTCCGCTGGATATGCATTTTAGGATCTCAGAGCCTGCCAGACCTGATCAGAGCCCCAGAGCTCTTTGCGAACAAATTTCACGAGGACTACTATCCCGAGGGTTACAGCTGTCTGGAGTTTGCAATCGCCAATCGGAGCTACCAAGGTCCTGCCCCCGATTTTGATCCATCAGTCTATGCAAGGTTTCGCTGTTCCTTAGAACATATGTAAATGAATTGATCAACGAGAAATCCAATTCCAACACCAATCTATCCGATGCATATGTTATGATTTGGATAGAATAACCAGATATGTCTTCGCTTTTATTTGGTCGCCACGGAGGAAACCTCCTTCATTTTATTGGCTTCAGAACTTATGGAAATAATGAGGTCAAGGGAAACCTAATTTCAGCGCCAATCTAGCCGATGCATAGTTGAATGGAAGAACAAACTGTGACTTCGTTTTTATTTGATTTCAAATGAGAACATTTTCTTCCTCTAACCGGTTTTAGAGATTTTCAGCAAGAAAACTGAAGTCACCTTGCAGATTTACATTGTAATTTAACATATGGGCAAGGCTTTTTTGCAATTATGTACCGGTCAAGAGGGGTAGCAATTCATAACTCCTTATCCAGTACAGATGTAGGCAAGTGTGTAAAATCAAAGGGAAATGGTTATGCATTAAGTTTGCCGGTCGGCCTACGGACAAGGTCACAATGCGAGGACGTTGACCGAAAGCAGTGGCATTAGTTTATGATGAAAATCAACCTTCTGACAACCGAAAACTGTAAGGACATCGACTGATAGTGGAGACACCTTTTGAATATCGGAAGCATTTTGCCATAGGTATCCCATTTCAGTAATTGAACATGATCTTTAGAACAAAAATGCTTTTTTTGTCTGACTTCTCTTAGGGTAAGGTGATACCATACTAACAGCACAGGTACTAGCCAAATGCCCATACACGCGTGTTTCGCCTATGTTTTGCCGCTGCATGGCGCAGCTGCCAGGGGGTCGGCTCGTCAGTGTGTCCCCCAGAATCCCCCGTGCGTTTTCTGATAGATACTCCAATTCACGCTCGAATCGATTATCGAGAACTGAAGGCGACGTTACGGTAAAGGACCCCAATAACCTGCCAGTATATCGTGAATCATGTTGTGCGAGAATAATGGTAATGGGGCGGGAGGGGGGGTTAGGGGGTGTGGCAGAACACCGGACAGTACGCGAACTGAATGTGGGAAAATGCAGAAGACGTTCGGGGCAAAAACGATCCTGTCGAGTAAAACGATGAATGTATGCAGAAACGGTAGCCAGCTGGATATTCCAGCAAAGGTAGGGTAAAGCATCTCTATAACCTGTCGTGTGGATCGTGTCATGCGGGAACGAATGGGGCTAACCACCCGGCAGACACTTCTGTTATCCCTCCCTTCATGCCCAGTTGATCTGCGTTTTTTTTTCTCCACCCTTGGTTACAACTGCCAGTCACCGGTACTTAACTAGATTTCCAAGTACATACATCAGCGCACGATCCACATCTAATTGGGGTCCATCACTCTACCGTTTCTGAACCGAACAAGAGAAGAGGGTTAGAAAGGGTGCAACAGCAAACTTCTGCTGTCAAATAGGGCAAGGAAGTCTCCAATTCCATGCAGCCAAGCGTTACTTCGTTCCTTTTAGGAATGGCCAATGCAAACTACACGATTTACCGCGTTCTAACTGATGCGCAAGCGACATTTGCGAGTTAAGTCATATGAGACCCTGCGTTAAAAATGACAATGGAATGCTGTGTTTGCGATTTGAAACGGACAGCTTGTCTGCAGTAAGCCTGATCGATCTGATTTGGCAAAACACGTTCGAAATTGAAGGAGGCATTCACCCCTGTGCGCTGACTGATCCTGCGATTGCCTAACGGTTGTAGAGCAGAGGACGAAAAGCCTGAGGAGGACGTAGATTTTGGCACGACGGCGCTATGAGGGAGGAATTAATGCCAACGGTCTCGCAGTTTCGGCAAATGTGGAAATATACCTCACTATCCGGTGTATGCGGCAAAAAATAGCATTCTGGGAAACAAGTGCACACTATTGCTGCATGGCGTTTTTTTCTGAGGGGTCGTTCTGGAAGGCAGTCGACGTGTGTCCTCCAACACCCTGTTAGTGCTCTATCCGTACAGGTCATTGTGATTGAAATACGTACATACACCAACGGAGTTTTTGTCGTAGGGCAAGACAAATCAGGGCACAAATGACTAGTCCCGTTATTGGTAAGAAGTAACAAGTAAAATGATGAATGTATGCAGAAACGGTAGCCAGCTGGATATTCCAGCAAAGGTAGGGTAAAGGATCTCAATAACCTGTCGGTATACTGTGAATCGTGTCATGCGGGAACAAATGAGCTACTGTCCCGGCAGAACCTTCTGTTATCCCTCACTTCATGCCCAGTTGATCGGTATACGATCCACATCTAATAGGGGTCCTTTACCCTACTGCTACCCATTCAAGTATATCGGGCCAGATGCCCTTTCGTTCTTCATATTATTTCAACAAATTGCGTCAGAAGCCTGTTACGTCTGTCCGCAATTACGGCCATGTTATGGTTCAGCTGATTATTTTACCTGACACAAATGATCCCTCGGAACGTTGATTCTATGAGTTCGAGTACAATGAGACTGTTTGTCCTTTTCGAACTCTAATGTAAAGTTGATAGACAAATGCGTCTTGTTGAACATCACTTTGAAGTTCCACGATCCTTACTTAGAATTTCCGTCAGGATAAAGCTTGAGAACGGAATCATTTCCTCACTGTTTTTGCCCTTTTGTCCTTTTGACTGAAAATAAATGGCAACAACGCCTCTTTCAAAATTTCAGTGACACACAATCCTTACATTTGATTTTTTGTTCCACTATAGGAACACACGAAACCCTTGCCTAAAAGGAACGTTGTATCATTCCTGTGGTGGAAGAAAGTGGGGAGACTGTTTGCAATGACCGGAGAGACGTGAAAGCCTCCACTTATGCGGGTTGAACGCATCGAAGACAAGCGTTAGGGGCTCACGTGGACACAGCCCGTAAGAATTGTGCATACCATGGACTGGTGTGCCCCTACAGTAGCTGAGCCTTCTGTTTTCACGTTGTCTACTACAGACCTCTCGCAGGTGACCACATAACAATGAGCAGTTCTACCAAAGGTTATAATAGAGTATGAAATAAATTTTTCAGTCTTTCTTGTTATTGACTACCCGTCGCGATGCGACGGCGCGCGTCTGTAAAAAATATTCTATAGGATGTGAGCTATAGGATTTAGGGCGATTTGTACGCCGTTTGTCGCAAATTCTCAATTAACAACCCAGCCAGATTAAAATCGCAGACAGTTCTGGCAGAGGTCTAAAACGCGGTCGCACTGGTAAATCGGAAAACCCTTAATAATAACCCTAAACCCTAGCACTAAACCCTAACTCTAAATCCGAACCCTAAAACTTAACTCAAAACCCTAACTCTAACTTCCATATACTAACCCTAACATTAAACCCCAAACCACCAACCGCGGTTCTAAACCCTAACACTAAACAGAAACCCACCTATTGGCGTCGATATTAGCACGAAATTCGAAAGCGTTTGATAAGAAAATGACTAGATGGGCCGCGTTTTATGCCTCTGCCCAGAACTGTCCACCCTCTATGCTGGTGGTCTGTAGCAATCAGCTGCATCGCGTTTATGCTCTCCAGTGACGGTGGTCATCGCCTGACTGCCTGCATGTTCGAAGTAAGCATTACGGGGTTCCACCCCTCAAGGCTTCTGGCGTCGAATTAATTCGTCTCTTAAAAATGTCTGGATGCCGTCGGGGCCTTTACAGTTCAAGGCTTCGAACTAGGTCCTCTACGATCGGCACTCTTAGAAAATTCCTGTTAGAGGAGCATTAAGCCCCAGCTGGTTCATTTTGAGATGAAGATTTTTGTCCCAGTCTTTAATACCACCATTCTTGAAAGACCTCTCTAGGAAACACCTGCACCGTAACCATTGAACACGTGATGCACTGGCCGCATGCTAGCTCAGGTCTTTCCGTTGTGCATGCAGCGTAACCAGCAGCTTTCTCTCGGTTTCCAGGAGGAAAGTGTCGTTCGAGAGGGTGAAATTCTGCATCACCGAGGTTTGAGCCTCAGACGGTAGTCAATATCATCCTGTGTGGTAGTTTCAGCGACAAGGGTTATCGCATGACTGTCGGCATGGGGGCGTTGGACCTTTCGAATTTTGCCCAGATTCCGCTTTCGTAGTATACAATCTCCGGGGTTTTTCTGAATGTATTCATGGCCTTTACCGTGTAATCGCTTCGAAACAAATAGTCGTGCAAGTCCTAATTTGAAGAACCCAAGACGGCAGATAATTAATTTTGACATGGTGGATCATACTCCAGTCTTCAATAGTTCGATTCGTAAGGCGCCTCCATTGGATCTACTTACAGACGGAGGCAGACGGAGACCAATGATTTTCAGCAAGAATGAGGCCGTGAATGAAAGGTCCTCATGACCTCTGCTAGTCCAAAGGGGATAAGAAATAACCGACAAAGTCCCTGACAACTGTATGGCCCTTTCTGTCCTATTCGTCATAATCCCGATGTTGTGCATATTCTCGGGTTGGAGTTCATTCTGCATCGCTAGATATTTTGAGCCGTCCCACGTGTTTAAGTCCTATAAAGTTTTCTTTTTTGAACCATCTCTTGCCCTCTGACCTGCAGGACTTGCGCAGTCATCCATGCGACAATTCTGATTTACAGCATCGCCGACTAGGGAAACGCTTTCTTAACCTCGAGTTACTGCCCCTTCAACCGTAATCTACTGCCGGCGATTCCTTGATCAGAAGCTTACAATGTTGATCGCCCATTTTTATACAATATGCATAGGAGTACCAGCCGCACCACTGCTAAACCTCGAGATCTACAGACTACGGGGAATCGCCAACATTCTGGCACCCATTACCATTTATAAAGAATGTGTCCAAAGCGAGGCAACGGATCGTTGGAGAGCTCGGCGGGGGTATCGTTCACCGTCCGACAACGATCATGCCTAACAAAATCATGTGAGTAAAGGACCAAAAAGATACAGGAGAGCAATAGGGTGTAATTTATCAGATTGCATGCAGTGACTGCCCTCGCCATTACACAGGACAGACCGGACGACGGCCTAGCTAGCGAGTAGTGGATCATAATCGGACAGTCCGGAGAGGCAGCCCGTTGTCTCAGG